CCCAATAAAAAGAATTGAAATATTTACTATACATGTAACAGAGCCTCATTCTAATTCTTTAAAAATGTTTTAATGTTTGTGAAATTTAAAATTAGCTTTTGATATTCACCTCAAAATTTTTGTCATTCTCTTTTTTATCTAACTGGAAAAGCATCCATATTTTTAGTTTATTTGCAAGCAAAAAAAGTTTATCAATTATTTTCTAAATGATATCTTGTCATATTTTCAATGTGCTTAAAAGTCCGGAATTTTAATTCCATATACGGTACATGTACATGTGCATATTGTATGATCTGTCGTTTTAAAAATCAAATTCAGTTTCAAGAGTACGTTTTGCATGTCAATATAAATCAGTTGTTTCATATCTCTTTTACACAAATGGGATTAAAAAAGAACCTGTAATAAATATATTTTATGACCTTTTAACTTAAATGTGAAAAGTTTTTAATTATGTTATTGCTTTCTTAAATACACAAATTCTTGGAAAATTTTGATGTAATGATATTCTGGTTTCATTCCTTTATCGGTTATCGAGTGTACGAGTACTAAACTATTTGCCTTTTATTGTTAAAGTATGCCCTGCGCTTTCATTTTGGAAACTTAAAATTTCATCTTCAATCACATCTTCTAAGCAAACTAAGTATTTATAAGGGACAGCAATACGATCAAAATCGTTCGTGACAATTTTAGATTTTATTTATTAAAATGCAGTGCACTTAAAAATTCTACAAAACAGGTAATAATGCTCTTAAAGTCCCTTATAGACACCCTGGTCTTAACAAGTAGTCTTCATTTTATTTTAATAAATCACTTAAGTGCCATAATTTTTTTTTCACTCGGTGTGCCAATTTCATACTTGGTATCTGCATAAAGACTACAAATTAAGTCACAGAGAATGGGGCCTAATGACAAAGACCAACATAGACGCGCTTATTGCGTCTGAACATAGATTTGTTTTTGCAGAAGTTTAAGAATAAACCCCTACCGAGATTGCTGCGCTCTTTAAGTGTGCAGCTCACCCTGGGGGTCTGGATACCAGAACGTTGTTTTGAAATCGATGTCCTCAACAGCTGTGAATAAACTAGGCCGGTCCCCAAAAATCTTCTTCATTCATTCAAGTGGATTCTTGAAGAAATATTAATATTTCTCATTTCATGATAATTAACATCCATATAATCTATAGTGTCAGCATTGCTGGCTTAGGGAACCTCGAATTCGTCTGGGCAATTGTCGGGAGTAGAAAGTCTCAGTTGATAAATAGATAATGATGAAGTGTTTATAATAACAACAGTTTAAAGGCTCACTTGCTTTTGCAAATATTTTTACTCTTTTTCTTCACAGATATTAGAGAATTACAGCCTCTCAGACCATGTTCAACATTCGAATGAAAGAGAAATCGGTCTAAGGAAGCGAAGAAAGTGGTTTTGTCGCTCGCGGGAATAATTCGTTGACAAATTCCTTGTAAAAACGCTGCCACGTGAAAGCGGAGGAAACAGAAGTGGCTAAGTTTCTGATTTATCTGCAAAAGAAACATTAGAAAAAGAAAATGTAAAATGTTTTAAATATGATTTACACGTGTAATTGATTTATACCTCTCCCTTCGCTGGAGAAATGACCTGAAGGGTGTTTTTGATCACCTGCGAACTCCTGTAAATCACTGACAATCATGCACGTCGCTACTAAGTCATGTGCAAACAAGATTATTTGTCCCTAACTGGTCAACCTCAGGACACAGACGGAAAATCCCCGGATTAACACGACCAGTTCTGGTCTAGGGTGACAGCTCTACTAATTTATTTTTATGTAGATGTAGAATCGACGGATCTGCTGTAATGACGTGCCCCGTGATTCTCTAATAGGAATAATAGATATCATAATTCATGTCCTCCAGAAATCAAGGACCCCTCTTCTCGTCTCATGGTTTTCTCTGTTACTTACTGTCTTTATTTTTGGAAATAATTTATTGTTTTGACGGATATTTCATTTATTTTTACTTTGACATGTGAAAAGTTAATATCACTGATAGTTTCTCCGGGATTTTATTTCTATAATTATCTTTTTTACTGTTTTCAAAAATGTCAGTTAACATATTAAGTGAGTTCATTTTTGGTAAGATATAATAACATTGTTTAATGAGAAACTTTTTTCTTAAAAATTCAGTCGTCTATTTTTTTTCCTTTTTATTTTCTACAAGATTATTTTCTTCGTTAGTTCATATTAACTAAAAATTATTAATTAACATCTAAATATTTTACTTGCACAAATTAAAGAGGTCACTTGATTCGATTCGATCTTACATCAGACTTTTATTTTTTAAATCCCCTTTTCCCATTTTAAAATTAAAGACATTATTTAATGCGATATATAGGCTTACATGTATCTTGTGAACAAAGTATTTATGGTTGAAAATTTAAGATGAATGATTTTTTTTTAATTTTCAAAAGGAATTTTTTTTAGTTAACTATTCCTGCCATATTTGATTTTTTTTAAACTACATCCACCGAGGAATTTCTTCTGCGATTTTAGACCTTAATTTTTATGTTAGAAGAACCGAATATAATAAAAGTGGTTTTTTTAATAAAATACAATATACTATAATTTATGTGTTGTTTGGCCATGGTAAAATTTATGAAACACAGTATCTTTGAGCTATAGGCCAGTGATCTCTCTCATCCTGGATGCTAACCTGTGGAAGACCCATTAAGAAATTGTGGGTCAGCGGAAAAATCGGGTTCCCAGAATCAAGAGATAAAACGGAACACGCTCAGAAACAATGGGTGACAGTTGAAATGACAGTATCGCCGCCATCATACCCTGCCCATCTATCCAGTCCATTATTATCAATTAGGAAACAGAGAATGCGCTGTCATTAAAGCGATACTGCATTCATTGCTACCGATTCCCTTTCAATTGAGATCTATTATGTGTGGCATTGTGGGTAAAATGAACGAATCCGATTTAGAGATATCCAATGTCGGCTGGCTGTCATTCGGCAAGAAATCAGCCGACACAATTTACAGGTTCAATAAAAGCTAATTTGGAAAATATGGAGGCCGGTGAAAGGAGCATCGGCCAGTTAAGGACTTGATCAAATTTTTAAATGGGATCAAAGTCGCTGGAAAATTTGATATTTATACAAACAACACTGATTGAAAAGCATTCGCAATGCTAGGTTAAAATGATTTGAATTCGTTACACGCCATATTTTTAACTTTATTTTGCCAGCAGTTTTAGAGCTTCTTGGTAGATTGCTGAAATATAAATTTCTTTTTGTGCCAGCTCTACAACTGAACCTATGCATATGGTCATTTGACCTTACAAAATATTGCACATTTTATATCAGAGTATCCATTATCCTGCTGACTTGATTATATAAAGCATTTCTGGAAAACCTTTTCGATAACATGCTTATCATTTTCGGGATTTGACATTTTCATCATGGTCGGTTCCATGCAATGATAACCAACTTCCGGTCAGTTGTTCCGAATTCAGATTTTTTCATGTCCAGATCAAGCTTCTATCACGATCATTTAACGATACAGCTTTTAAGCCTCATTAACATCATTTAAGTGAAACGATTGCTCGTAATCAAAAGTTGGTAGTTAATGTTGCCCCCTGTGTTTCTTATCTGGAACATCTGCACCAAGAACGACTTGACAATGACCAGTTCTCTGTCAATATGATGTCCAACGAGATAAGACTCGACCTGGATATTTTACTTGACCTTTGAAGATGATTTGTCATTTCAATGAATTTTGTCTTAAAAATGGCTCAACTATTGTAGGAATAATTCAAAACGTAAACTGGCACCTATTTTGATCTATTCTCCCAAAATACTTTGTTCCTTTATCATTTAGGGAAAATATTCTTAAAGCTATTTGAAGACATTAATAATTATCATTTATAGAAAATATTCTTAAAGCTATTTGAAGACACTAATAATCGAAATTTTAAAATACGTTTCAGGCAATAACAGAAGACAATTAATCTTTCTGTAAGCAAAGGCAAAGATTCTTTGAGTGATCAGAGAATTTGAAATTTCGAGCAAAACCTTCGAGGAAAGAGCAACGTTTCAAAAATTAGTTACGAAAATGATGAAATATAAGCTGAAAAATATGATATATAAATAAAAACACATTCATTTGTAACATCTTATGTAAAGTGATGACGCGAGTACTTTTTTCCATACAAAAATTGATAATTTTTTTGTGATTTCAATTACTAGTGTCATTTTAAAAATAGTTTTAATCATGCAAATGCAATGTACTAGTAATCCAATATTCTTAAAAGACTTGTTCCTATTTATTTTGAAAGAAATATTCAGAAAATAGTATAAATCTGATTCAAAAACAATTATTTTTCAATATTTTATGACACAAAAAACCTCGAACTAAATGCACCTCACTTTTTTATTACACCGAGATTTCCCACAGCACTATATGGTCTGATACACAGTTCCTATGAACCCAAGAAAATACAGGAAAACGCGATTCCGTGCTCATACTGTCAATCGGAGTCATTTCCCCTTTGAAACCTTTCATCCCTTTTGAAATACGAATTCAAACCTGACTAATCCTAACAACAGCTATGGAGCAACAGTTTATGATGGGTTAATTAAGTGCTATACAGCGATTTTTGCCTTGAACGGGGCCTAGTACCAGAAATCGTATTGGAAGCATTCGGTAGAAAAACAATTGTGTTCGTCATCCTTTTCTACAATAATAATTAATATTGTGAACATTCTGATGTCATTTAATGTGTAACGAAAAATAACCAAGGCATATATTACTCAATATTTTTTTATTCCGTTCGAAAAAAAACTGCTACATGTTGACAAAAAAAAATCAATATCGTTTTGTGTCAAATGCAAATAAAGAATTGAGAAGCTTTTGTTCTCAAATTGTAGTATCAGTGTTCAACAGCCTTTTTAAATGGCTAATGAAAAAAAAAACATGCTTTCATTAATGAATAAATTTTTTAAAATAAATACATTTCTCACTTCTTCATCATATAAATCTATTTCCATGTACCTTGTTAAACAAGGATACATTAAAAAAGAAAATAGTTTTGTTATGTAGAGACACATATTAAAGAATCTGTACATCATGTTAAGTTTGCAGAAAATTTCATAATTTGTAGTAATTTGTGTCGTGTGTTACTAATGTAATATTTACAAGACCTATTCATGACCTTTTTCTTGCAATGCATACATTTGTGGTAAAACACGGTAGGAATCATGAAAGAACGTATCATACATTTTTCTCAATAAATATTGCCTCGAAGCTCTTGTATTATCATTGTTTCTGTTCAACAAACTCATTTTTCAAGTCGAAGGTGACAGCACTCTTCAGTTCAATTAAAGCGCAATAGGTAAAAAGACTGATGGCGCATTAATTCCCACATCGGACTACTTGAGATCTGAAGTGGAGCCCGAGCCCGACCCTATCTGGGTGAAAGAATCCAACGAGGCAATATCCCCCCCTCAATGACCAATGTCAACACACGATTAGACATAAATATAAACACGTTACCCAGATTCCCAATGTCAATTTCTGACTAATTTTCCTGTCGGATAGCATCAACTCAGTATAAACAACACTTGGCTCATAGCACTTGGTGGAATATTTAGCACTTCAGAATAATCGCAGTCTTTATTAATCCCTTCGTAGTCATATTAACCTTGTTAGGAAAACCCTTGTCTGCACCAAGCACTGGATAGGATCGCACATTGTCCTTAAGCGCCCTCCAAATGTCTCACAGCACGGAAGAATTTGAACTTATCACGACAGCTGCATCAAGAAACATCCGCGGATTCCAGAAGATAGTCCCCAAAAGGAATCCTAATACGATATGGTCGGTGCATCTTCTCTGAAGATATTCCGAGATGAACGAATTATAAGTAATCCAACATAATAAATTACATCTTGAGTAATAAAAATCAATGTTAGTTCTTTTCATAAGAAATACAGTAACTACACTTTCTGATAAATGAATAAAATGAATCAATGTGCATGTTCTTTCTAAAGTTCGTTGTACATCTTTATACAAACATCTTGAAATTTTGCTATACATTTGAAAGTCGTAGATAAACAAAATTCTAATTACCCAATTGGGTTTGTCAGTCTTTCGTTACCCCTTGTTCCAACGTCACGGGCCGGTGAGTATAGGTTTGATAGTGAGGGATAGGGACGAAGAATCGGAGAACTTCCGGCGGATGAAAGTCCGTTAAATCCGGATCCAGATAGTCCAGACAAAGGCGAACTTTTATCAAGCATTCCACCCCCATTGTTGGCACTGAGGTTAGTGTAACCTGGAGAAGAACTTGTAGAAAACATTGACGAACCTATAGAAAACGTATTGTCCATCCATGGTCTCATAGTCGATGCAGAAGATGGCATAGAAGGGGAACCTAATTTTGAGAAATTTAAAGGAAGGTTTTGGTCTTTTCCGTTCGATACTTGGGAGGTAGTATTTGTGCATCCAGTATTAGAGGTCGCAACATGCGCAAGAGACCATATCCGGGGTCTTAGACCATCACCTCCATCCATATTGGAAGCATTCAAGGTTAGAGAAGTGTTTATGTCACTGAGACCAGAGTCACTGCTGTTAGAACACGGGGATTCTAGACGTTTATGGTCCATTATTGGTGGTTTAAGCTCTGTGGTAGACATCGAGGGGGCTGGCATACTGTCTACTACCCCAATAGGTGTCAGTGTGCTCATCATGCTATTTTTATCGCCAAAGACTGAATTATCCTCAATAACTGCATCCTGGTCATTTTTCACTTTCAAAATATCTGTAAAAGAAGAAGAAACGAGATTGTTAAACTATGTTAAGAAATGGGGAAAATTGTTGCAAATATTGCTATGAGTCCCCTTTCTCGACAATAGAAACCTATGAATAACATACACAAAGGAAATTAAAAGGGTGAAAATTCTTTTATTAACCGAACCCAAAATCCAATTTTATTTAATCTCATTTCACGTTAAGTGCATTTTAAAGAAATTGAAATTTGGAATTAAATAAAATTCAAGTGTTTTACAAATTTGTCCCCGATTAATCCACCTACAAGAATCGCACCTGCAGCAGATGAAACTAAATTGTCGTACGAGTTACTAATCCCCATAAAAGCCCAGGCCCAGACTGTGTCCCTTCGTGTGAGAGATTTTGAAGAGAAAAACGGCTCTCAACAATTCAAATTAACACAACACAGATGCTGCAGGATAAGTCGATGTAAATATGCATGGATTTAATGCGTGTTTAATTTATTGTGAAGAGAGTGCGATTTTTGTTTCTTTTTAAAAGACACTTTGATTGTCATGATAATGCGCGTTGAAGTTTCCATGAAACTTTGTTACTAAATTAATACATGTAATCGTGAATGCATCGCTTTGCAATAAAAGACTCGTACAACAAATTTAAAAAGGCTAATTTTTATTTACAAATTAAGAAAAAAAATTTCTTTCTGTGATAGTTACATGTAATAATAATTGAAATCAAAAATCAAAAATGTCTTCTATTTGAAACGAGTTGCATATAAACAGCAGATAATTAAGGTTGAAAAATGTAATTTTTGAAAACGTATATATCTACTACATTTACATGCAAATTTGAAAAATCCTTTATCTAAAAATAATTTCAATTCATAATGCATTTAGATATTCATACAGCTATAGTATAATAACCCTGAAAACCAGAACAAGGTATCAAGTTATTTCGTTGTTTGTTTTTTGTGTGTGTCGTATTGTCTAAATGAACAACTCTCCTTTAAATTCTCTAGTCGATTTATTTAATGAATGAAATAATTTTATTGAAAATTTCTAGCTAGATAAGCTAGATACACTTCAACATGAGGAACTTCTGGGTGTGCTAATATTTCTATGGTATGAAAAATTATCGAGTTGGAAGAAAATGACTTTTGAGAGTTTCAATGCTTAGAAATAGAAGATGCGCCCTTTGAAGTAGAAGATTAAACAGTAAGCATTTTAAACAATTACGGACGGGAGACGCGGTGTCTTTCGGGACGTGTTAGCAGTTGTCGAACAGGCAGAGAGGCTCCAAACATCAAATGATGATTAATGTATCCTTTTACAACGACAGTCAATAACCATGTAATATATAATTCTTTTGTGGATAAAACATAATGCAAAATACAATTAATTTATGGCGGAAATACAAATAGTGAAACCAAGTCATAAACGGCCAGACAGAAAAAAGGACACGCGCTAATAGACCTGTCATGTTCTCCACGCACAATTTTTTGACAGTCACGTGACTTTAATGACGTCTACAAAAAAGCAACATTTGATTGAATTACGCTTTGCAAAAAATATAATTCCTAAAAAAAAATATTAATTGACAAAATTTGTGCTAGAACAGATATATCAGATAAATTTTAATACAGAATAAACCATAGCGGAATTAGAGATAATGGTATTTTTAACATTTTTAAGTGCAAATAATTTATCATATTCCATCAAAAAAGCAAAAGCTAAGATGCGTGTTTGGTGGCTATATCTTCTTTGGGTCAGGATTACGGGCGGGTAATCTGGCTTAATGTGGCTCACGAATGTTCCTAAGCCAGCAACCTTAAGGCCCACAGGAATGGTAAAATGTGTAATGCTATTACTGGGGGAAAATATGTGTTTACTATCGAGCATTTCATCATAAATGCTCGTGTGAGACCTTGTCCATCTCTAAAAGCGCATACCTTCTGATCCGCGATTACGAGCCCATTGACATTATAAATGTCCCTTTCGATTTGTGTTATTGATTTCAATTATAGCGGCTTATCCACGCACGAAATGGCGATATGAGCAAAAAAAGAAATTCAAATGCAGGGGAGATTAGTATCAAACGCATGAGTATTCCTTTCTAATACCCCAATGAAATCTCTCTTTTTTGAAACAACAGGCAGAGTAGGATATCAATCACAAATGCTGACATGGACTTTGGAAGACGCGTGCTGTAAGAAAAGAGAAAACTTAGATCCGCGTGCCATCCTTAGTTTTCCATAATTACAGGATTCCAGCTGACTGCTGAGTGTCAATTGATCGTCTGCTAACTACTTAGAGGTATTAAGGCATGACCATGGTTTTTAATAAAAAAGAAAATTACAGTATTCTATTTCATTTTATTTGTTCTCCTCGTTTTCATAGGAGGTTTGTTTACGAGCGACTGAAGAGCATGAACAGGGTGGCGAGTGTCGAAATTATGGAATGAAATCTGCTATGAAACGGACAACAATGCATTTGAATGTCAATAATGATAATTGTTCCTAGCTGGACGTCAAATATTAGTGAAAATTTCCAAGACAAGTGAACGAAAGTGTGGAGACGAAAAGGCGATGCACGCGCAGATAAAATTTGCAGCAGATGTAACATTGATGATATCGAAAAGAGCCGAAACTGTTTGTCGGATTTCTTGAAGTCCGAACGAAAGCCTCGGCAGATTATTAAATGCTGTGATTAAATTCTTATCGTATAACAACTGACAATCTTTGTTTTCTTTGATTAAATTAGTCGAGAAATACGATCAAATATTTGTTAGAGGTCTTATCGCCTAGAGTAATCCTCTGCATTCTGCACATATTATTTCAGGGGTCGATTCTTGAGAAGGATAGAGTTTACGTGGGAACCCGATAACGAGAGAATCCTGATCGCGTTATAGACTCCTTCGCCTGATACAAAGGTGACATCGCTTTGAAATTTCAAAGATTGCAACATTATAATCAGCTTTCGACATCAGAACCATTAATCTGGGTAGCAAATATTAATTTCAGTACTCGGAATCTGTTCTTATTTCTTCGATATCCACTCAGCATTCACAGAGCAAACAATATCTAGTTGTCATGTTTTAAAATATCAGCGATACATCATACAAATTCTGAAACACTTAGCCCAATCTCTGTGTTGTTTCAATTCGTGGTTTCCAGACTGAACTCTTTAATATGAGTCATTATCAAATCGTAAGAAAAACTGTTTATCACAATGAAAACGATCAGTCAACGTTTCAAATACCCATGTGCCAACTGTGTTTAGTTTGGGGTTTATATTTAGATGAAAGAAGTTCTACACACTTACCAAAACTGTCCTTTTCTTCATTAGGTTTTATGGGATCGTTGCTATTTTCGTCTGTCTTTCTTTTCTCATCTTCGTCATCGTCGTCGGCTTTGTCATTGCTGTTTTCATCGTCACCATCCCCACATCGGTTTCTTGGAGACCAAGTCATTTTATTCTCTTTTTTAAGTCGTCGTCTAGCATTTGCGAACCAGGTACTGACTTGGGTTAACGTCATTTTGGTGATAATGGCCAGCATTATTTTCTCCCCCTTTGTGGGGTAAGGGTTTTTTCGGTGCTCATAGAGCCAAGCTTTTAACGTATTTGTTGTCTCTCTTGTGGCGTTCTTTCGTCTGGCGGCTCCGTTCAGATCCATTCCGCCATAACTAATTTTGAAAAATGACAATAATACTTAGGGATAAGCGAGTGTTTCTAATAAAAACACTAGAGAAGATAGATTTTTAATCATACAAAATTCATTCATGTTTCTTGCACAATAATGTTTGAAATAATATGTTAACAACAAAAAATTTGGTAACTCTTGAGAAGCACTCTGGGAAGTTCATTGACAGCGTACTTCTTCCAAGAGTCAAAAAAGACTCTTTAGTGAAGGAGGAACGGAAAGTCAGGTGTTTTAAGTGAAATACTTACGCATTTCCGTAAGGATATGCCGCCATGGCGGGATCATAAGGATAACAGGCAGACGGCTGAGAAAGGCTCCGCCAAGCAGCATCCGAACCGTCCTTGAGGTCATATGGAGAATTCTGTAACGAGGTTTTCGTAAATGATTTAGTCCAATTGTGGTTTTCCTGCTTAGTGTAAAGAATATATTTATTTATTTCACGAAGACAAGCTGACTTAATAGAACATTTGTAAAATTATAAAGTTTAGATTGTTTTAAAATATTTTGACAGAGGAATTATTAGGTTTTTTATCAACCGAAACTGAAAAGGTAATTTGAAAGTTAAAAAAATGGCAGTTTTAGATGAAACAAATTGCAAAGTGTAAGATCTGCAAACTGCTTGATAGACATACAAATAAAGATTTTCTGAAAAAGATAATCTTTAAAAAAGATTTTTTTTTTTAGTTTTTTAATCCATGTTACATGTTGATTGCGTATATAATGTTTGTGAAAACATAAAAACTTGATATAACACAACATTGGTGATTGTTAAATTTTTAAATACATGTAACACTTTTATTGAGCATTGATTTTATATTAGATAGTATACAATGAATATATCTTAGAAAGTCGGAAAATTAACCAAGTAGCTAAAGCACAAAATCTGTTAGGATGAGTGGATTTGATTTTTGGTAGATCTTTTGTAAAAGTTTTAATTTTGATTTTTTTTCTCTATTTAATTTGAAGAATTTATTAAGCTGTTACATCTTGTAATGAGAAATTAAAAAAAAAATAGCAAGTTAATTAATATTCTGCGAATAGGAGTACAACGGATTTTATCTTCGGTGTTTTGGTGTGTTTGTCTATACTTATTAATTGTTAAATGAAATAAAATGTATTTCATTTTTTAAATCCAAAGAAGAAATTATGTGTACGTTTTAAAATCATGTTTTGCTTTCTACTATGTAATATAAAAAAAATAATCCGTGTAGAGGATCAAATATTATTTCATTACATATTGGAATAGTTCTCGGACATCTATATAAATAATGGGGATCATTCACTCTTGATTATCTATTAATTATTCATTACAAATAAATATATTTACCAAAATATATTTATAACCGTAAGATGCCAGATTGACAAGGAAAATTGTAAAAAAATGTATTACCCACAGGATGTAGATATTAATTAGAACATGTATAATATAATTAATACTTGTTAGCGGAAAGGCCGCGGGTCTTTGTTTACACATTTTCGACAAGAAATGTAATACAGTTTGTCAAAAAATAATAACCACATCCCTTGAAAGCTATCATTGAAACAAACTGTTTTAGCCGTTATCAACGAAGTTGTTCTCCGTATACATGTTTATTGCATATAGGTAATAACTTATGTACAACATAGATACGAAGGAACGGACCACCTAAGAAATATCAACTCAGAATGGTAAAAGGGTCGTGAAATGGGAAAATTTTTCTAGAGGATGAAAAGTTCATGATTTCAATTCAATTAAATCGCCTTTACAAGACGCCCATCTGTTTGCATGCCACTTCATAAATCTATAAATCGTTATCTTTAGCGCTCGCTACGAGGGGATTTGCGCTGTTAAAAAGCAAATTTGCAAACAATTATTATGTTCATATCGAATAAATCAAACATAAAATATACATGGCATGTTTAACATTTTTTTTACTGAATGATGAAAAAACAAGTAAAGATTCTGCTGTAAATTTTAAGAGATTCTGTTTCTCTATAGTTTAGAGACCTATATATGTTATCATACATATTGCCGTTGCATTGGTAAAAAGGCTTCATTCAGGGTATATACAGGAGAGAATGGAGAGAGAGGGGAAAGAGAGAAGAAAAAATCGTCAGAATCACACAGTTTGAATTCGCTAGTTTAATGGAACATGAAGAGAAAAATTATGAAAATTTTAAAAAGATAACATCTCAGACTTTGGCACCCCTTGATTTAAGCTTCCTGTTAAATAATCAACCATTTTCACACCATGAGAATTAAGAATGGAATAATTTAGTCTCCCCGATTTTCATGAATGAACATTTGCTGCGTTCCTGAGAAAGGTGAGTGGAAAGGTCCCGGATCAAGTAGGGAGGTGTCATTATCCCAGCACCGTACTAACGGAGAAGGGAGGAAGTTTGTCGCAGAAAATTAGTTAAAGATTTCAGGTACTTAGACCAATATTGCCGACTCAGTTATGGTGCTATATAAATTTCTGCTAATCACCAAATGGAACCTGCTGTTTTTGGAGAGATTGGGGGAAATTGTGAACAAGATAGATTCTAATTGCCCAGTAGTTTGTGGATACTTCTCGATGGGTCCGCCGTCAAAGAGTCGCGGCTCACCCGATTTTTATCAAGCATCTCTTCGAATCAGACTTTATCTTACATTCCTGCCAGTTTTATTTATTTTTAAATATAACTTTTATTTCTTCTCAATAGGAATCGTTTGAAAAACAAGTTGATTGTTCTATCCATCTATTTTTATGACTAATTTAAATTGTATTTTTTTAAATGAACGCATGTCAGTGATCCTAAAACATTCAAAGGCTAATAGAGTGCACAGGGATTATGGTTTCTTGCAATTTGGTGTAGCTTACTATTTGGGAGGCAAAATTAATGATTAATAATTATTTGTTTTTATCATAGATACTGAGTACATTTACAATGAAACCGTGGAACCATTCCTTCTGTCGGTGATTCATTTGATTCTGTACTGCGCAGTAAAAAAAAAGTTCAAATTTATTCTGGCAAATATTTTCTTTTAATTCCCAAAATATTAAGGCACTTTCCGATTGGTAGAAAAAATTGATACGACATGAGTTTACAATTCAGCATTGATTAACTTCATTTACTGAAGAAGAGAAAAAATTATTTGCATTAAAAAAATGTTTATATGTGAATATATCCTTAGAAGATATTTGATATTAATTAAACAAAAGCATATGGAAAAAGATTTCTTGACTTATTGTAAATCAATTAAAAGGTATTCTTAGATTCTGAACAACTAAAAATAAGATAACAAATTTTCAGAGAACTTAAATTACATCTAGATTTGAAGTGTAAGATTTTAATAAAAATTAAATAACACGGATTATTAAAAACAACTCTCTACATGAAGGAATATCTATCCATTTATGACAAACACTTCAAATTGTTTTAAATATTTTGAAGCAGTTGTTTAGCGAAAGTTGAAAAATTTCTAGGCACGGCGACTAATTTCTGTTCACAGGGAGATAACGTGGAACCCCGTGGAGTTCCGGAGAGGTAGAAAAAAGAGGCTATCCGATAGGCCTTATTTTCCCCAGCCTTATCGCTACATCGAAGCAAAATGGCCAACAAGTCGGGATATATCAATATTTTTTTTCATCAGCCATGGTCAGTAATCCGTCTGTGTATCTAGGAGGGTTCAACAAGAAATAGAACCGCTTACCAGTAAAAAAAAAAAATAAATAAAAATCTTAGCTGAATATGTAAATCTGGAATAAATTGATTGATTTGTATAGTTTTGAATACTTAAATTAGAATTATAAAAATATTACAAGATGTGGTTTGACAGAAATAAAACATTCTTTTCAGGAAGAAAAAGCTTTATCTTATGATTATTCTTTTTTTTTCCGCTGATAAATTCATATCCTTAAAGATTTTGGAGTACATTCATGTTTGCAAATAGATCTTTAAAAGTAAATGAAAAGGAAAAAAAATAGACATAAAACAATGTATTGGATTTTTTTTCTTGATTTCGGTGTATAATTAAAGTTTTGTTTCTGACATCAATATCAAAACTTACTCATTTTTCGAAAAATTACATAAATCTTAATCCCCAGAAGCAATCTAAAAAAGAAAGTTATCGATTAAATCCACTAAAGAGATTAACCAGGGAATGATTGATGCATTCATTTACATCGCTATTGACGGTCGTGTGACCAAACCCCATTCTTGTTTACACTTTTATTTAGAAGACGCCGCGGGTATAAATGATCAAGATGGAAATGGGAAAGGGGTCTCGTCTTTTTAAAAAGACGGGGAAAAATCGCCTTGTCAACTATTGACTTTATAGTCAAGAATCTAAAATTACCGGTTGTCGTTAGTGGTGTAGGACTTACCAATGGGGAATAAAACGCTGAAGGGTCTGTCCCCAGGGGCATGTAGCTCTGTGAACCGTAGGGTCCAGCACTGTAGACTGAATCGGTGAGCGAAGGGACCCGGGAGTAGGCACTGAGGAGCCCGGATCCATATTGACAGGAGCATACCGTCTGACCGGTGTGGGGGTCGGTCATTATGGGACGTCCGTTCTCACAGCAGGACGTGGTTACGGAGGATAGCGTAGAAGTGGTGGGGGTCGACATTAGAATCTTAAAGCAAGAAAAAGAAATCATTTGTATTTTATTTCTGAAGACAACGTTTTAAAAATGATAATAAAGAAATTAAAATGAGTTTGACATATATATACACGCACAGGAACAAACTGTTAATAGAAAAATATAACTGCTGAATCAAAATTTCAAAATTTATTAATAGGACATGAATATAATATATATAGAAGTGATATATACAAGATACAACCTTTTTAAAAATGGGCGTAATTTACATTAATCAAACATGTTTTTATTTACATTAATTTACACCCTGATAGAAAGATTAATCTGTTTTCTTTCAGAGTTTGTAAAATTTAAACAAAAACATTTTGAAAACATACTGCATATGTGATTTTTATCAATATACCTTTTCAAACGTTTTACAAATGAAGCTATATCAGGTCCTGAGAGTATGCAAATAATTTACCCATTTAAATTTTACAACATGCATATATTAGTTTACAAATTTGAATGAATGTATTTATAATATTTAAATACAATATGATGTATCTTATTGATCAACGAATAAATATTAACAAAAGATTTGATTAAATGAAGGGTTTTAAGTGGCTGAGATCAATTTTAAAGTAGTTTTTTAAATCTGTGTAATATTTAAACGAAAATGGCATTTTAATTTTAACCATTTAATCTATTCATGTGTGTGGTATACCTTCAAAATATGTCTTGTTTCCTTATCATAACTATTAGATATATTAGTTCTCCATTTTAGGCATATAATGTTTCTTTTAAAGCTAAAAAAATTTCCTAGGCATGATTAAAAAATTGAAAAGTAAACTAAATTAAATGTGAAGATCACTTTTAGAAAATCTCTAATTTTCCCTATTTATTAAGCTTTTATTTCTGTTTTTAATTTGATGTACGTGTTCGTCTTCTAAAAATGACACTGTTCGTATACTTTTTATACAATATGAATGTCCAAAACAGATTGCTTTTCAAGTTATGGAGCTGTGGTTTTATGCATTAATAGGTGAATCACCAAAAAGCTCTGGTCGAGCTTTTCCCCGATATGGTTTACCAAAGCAAATAATAACAGGAAATAACGCTAATTAGTCGTAGAAGACCGTTATTAGAAAATCAAATATTCAATATTTATGGATAGTGCAAAAAAGCACCATCACTTAAACGTTTAAACTGATTGCCACTTCATAATTTAAAATGCAAGCTTACCTGTGACGGAGAAGACAAAGTTGTGTTAGGGTAGTTGTATCCGAATTGAGGGAGGGACATCGCACACACACCCCACTTTCCCACAGATTATCGATAGACACTTCTATAAATTTTCCAGAAAAGAATAAAGTCAACGTGAAAAGTTTAAATCTCCTGATCAGGCACTCAAAGAAATTTCACGGTCAACAAATATTCAAAAAAAAAAAAATATTTGTGAAAATAAGTTTGCTGCTGTGAAATATACATCAACTGCAACGTGTATATTTCTGCTACCACATGTTCAATTGTGTAAACTAATATCCATGTATACTTCAGACCTGCGTATATTTTGCTATCTTATCACAATTCTACTATATTTACTTGTTTCGTCGATACTCGTGTTTCACAAGCGTTAAATATTCAACTAACATCTTACATGACAGCACTGTGTTAGAGACTTTTTTCTCGTGGGTTAAAAGAGCTGTAATACTATTGGTTAAAATTAATTTTTTGGCGATTTGTGATTGGCTGAGAATTGTGCGCGTGAGATGTCTTTGTAATGGAAATCACTCCGCCTCAAGCCCCGCCTACAGGATAAATGGAATTTTTTCAAAACATATTTACGAATTCTATATCATTATTTGTCAACGTTTATATTTTATAATTTTTATTTGTTATCAGAGAAAAAAATCCAAGAAATATTGAATAATATATATGTAAGTAATTTTTACACACACCAAAAAAAAAAAAAAATCCTTTTTATGTTTTTATCCTAGCAGAAGGAAACAAAGCAAATTACTACAAAAATAGTTTGTCCCTTGAAAAAATTAGCAAATTTATTTAAAAATGAAGTTGTGTTTATTGATTTAAAGTTGTGTTTAAAAGCACAATTAATAACAAGGCGATTATTCCAAGTATCACGGTTGTGAAACGGAAGGCGGAAATTTGAATTGATTTGCAATAATGTTAGTCAAAGCTTTTATGCCGTTTGCTATAGATTTAGACCAAGGAAAACGCTATCAAGTTCAAAGAAAATAATTGACAAATCCATTGCTTTCGTTATCTCTCCATCTATGTTCCAAGTTGCATTACAATCCATTAAACAAGATTTGATAAATAGAACGAGTTAGAAAGGTGTCATTATAGTTAATCTGGAATTTCATCAGCGGGGAAAACTGTTAGAATAATTTGTTCGAGAGAAGTAAAATATTTCTACATTGATTTTTGTCTCGTTGTTATAAAAAAAAAGACGCTATCATATTCATTGAAAAATCAGTACGATCAATCTAACACGCTTTTTAAAAATATTCTAATGGTATTGACTATATTTTTGGCTATTTTTTTCTTTCACAACCAAATCGGATAGTATTAATTTCAGCGAGTCTCTAATTTAGGGAATTACAGTTGTTTATCAAAAGTTTGCTGGTTTGAAGAAATTGACTTACATTTAGTTAGATTCAGTTGTTTGTTTTCTCTCTCAAAAAAAAAAAAAGAAAAAAAAAACCTAACCTGATAAAGTGTTAAGATTATTATCAAACGCTATACATATTAGAACTTAATTTCAAATAAAAACTGTTTGATTTGCAGCATTAACATAACATTTTCAAAAAATTAATCTGTCTTTAAAAAAAAATCGATCAAGAAAGGAAATTATACTTCTGTTTATTTCGAATGAAAAAAATTCAACATCTCTACACCTATAAAGTTACAATGACAGTAAATAGCAATACACAAAATTTCCAGTAGCCATGAATGATCTAACCGACATGGAACTGTTTAGTATAATGACCGTGCCATCATATCACAAGACGCCAGTAATTAGATTAACGATTATCGGGAAAATAAATCAGCTCTGTTAACTCATTTCCAGATAACTCCGGCATGTGCAGGTTGTGTGTCAAGTGCGTTATCTCCCTTTTGGGGTCTGTAGGGGGCAGTGCTGCAAACTCTCGCTAAACTCACGGCCTCAATGCTAATCTCGTAATCATAGAACTACTGTCAGATCAAAGAATGTGCTTTTGGTTTATGTCTAAGGTAGAAGCATTTTCCTCCATATAAACTGTGAATCCACCGAGGATAGGAAAGTTTATATATAATGATTTGTATTGTCAAGATGTTCACAGTCTTAATGAAGTAAGACTATCTCTCCAGCGAAATGCAGAGAGTGAGAACGATACAGGGAATTTGAAGTTTACTTTTTTCCGGCAAAAGTGCTATTAATATACATGTAGAGTACATTTTTAAAAAATAAAGCAGATAAACAGAGGAGAGAGAGAGAGGGGAAAAGAGTTCAGAGGTAAAAAAACAAAAAAAAGTGAATTATTCTTTTAAAAAAATCAGCCTACCTTCCAATCGAATGTTGTCGATACAATAGGCAGCAAATTAACAAAGTCTGACTAATCAACTCATACTCTTGAAACAAAAGCAAAAACAGCAATTCACTCTTGTTAAGTGCATCACTGTAAATAAGAGAAAAAGAAAAATCTTGTAGCTCTTGTTTGGACGTTTCCGAATTTAAACTTTGATTAGAGACAAACGTTAAGCATGTTCACGCAGTTGGTACAGGACTAGCATTCTGCACGAATCCCAACAGCAAGAAATACATTAACTGGCAATTGAATTAATTTTTGCGGGTTTTCAGATTTGATAATTCACAAATCAACATTCTTTTTTTTTTTTCAGAAATGGCAAAGGGTGCTTATTGTAAGCTCTTAAAAGAAAATGATACAAGATTATTTTCATTTTTAACGAAAGTTCTACAAATAAATTAAAAGAGTATCTCATAATTTTTTTCAACTTTACAGAATTAAATATTTTATTTCATATTTTTTTAAAGGATATTGTTTTTTTTTTTTTAATTTATCAGTGTTATCATTTTTTAAAATCTTTTTTTTTTTTATTATTATTATTTTTCAAATGTTTGGATTGAAATGCAATTTTGTTTGGTTGGTTGTTTGATAGGTTATTCTAATAATCAATTAATTTCTTTAATTTTTATTCATACTTTCAATCATTTGCTACTATGTTTGTTCATTTATTTTTCATTATGACGCATGATATGAAATGCTAAATATTGTGCCGAAATTTCTTAAAAGACTTTTCAACACTTGCACGGATGTACCGGGTGCTTATTACCCCCCCCCCCCCTTCTCAATATCAGTATCAAAACAAAGTTGAAATAATACAGTTGAATGAATAGTGTAACTAACGATCAAAATCTTGGTAAAATGAACAAAAAATTATTTCACACTTTTAAAACTTTTATAAGACATGATCGGATGTAGATTGTCACGCCCCTTCTGTCACAGTTTCGGGATCATTCGCACACATTCACCTTTCACAAATAAAAAGCTAATTTAAAAATGTGTTAATGAATCACAAAGAACTAGTATTAATGGTTTATCTATGTTTTCACCAGATTTAATTGATGGGTCATCTGTAAACGGAAAAGGCCACGGCGACCAATCTCGGCATGATGCAATTAATAAGCTCGATTCCTTATGGCTTATTTTGTCCAATAATCTAAACATACTTTTGTGGGTAGCTAATTTTAATTGATAAAAACAGTTGTAATACTCTCTCTCTCTCTCTTCTCTCTCTCTAATAATTTAATCTTTAAAAATAAGAAATTAGATAAGATTTATATTTTTTTATTCGGAATATTTTAATAACTTTATAAATCATGATTTAAAAAAGAAAAGAAAAACCTTCACGAAATTCAAAATTTGACGTCGACTGCTGTGCACTTCTCAATTACCCAAAAAAAGCTTCCAATGCAGTTCATAAAAGCCCCTACAGGAATTTGCTATCTAAACACTTGTAAAATCAGCAAAGGTCTCTACATTTCAACCACAGTCCCCTAACAAAATAACAACAAATTATACATAATAAATATTGGTCTCTTTTACAATGTTCTCGACTCTCACCGACACCTGTAGTAAGAGACTTGTTGACATATCAAATTACTAAAAGTATGTACAAAAATACTTAAACTTTACTTGACCAAAACATTTATTTTTCTGATTTTGCTGCTCCACAAATATTCTAATGAAAGCCAAAACTTTTTTTTTCATGAAAACTTTTTTGCCAACCGAAGATTTTTAGAAAGTATTTAAGCTCCATTCAGATTTTTATACCATGTATCAACTTCTCGATATTATTGTCAATCATCGTTTTTTTCTGTTTTCTTACAATGACAAGAGGTCATGTTTACAAGAGGCTATACAGTCGTTATGTTGTGCCCATTAAGAATAAAGAGGAACATATTTCTTCTCAGTACTCAATCATACCCTTCCGAATAAATTCATGATAATATATACTCAACTCCATTAATGGAAAATATTAGTAGGCCTATTGAGTCAAGCAATGTCAGAATTTTTTAAATGTTTAAGGAACAGCAATACTCGGGTTAGTTTCTGAGGAAAATTTGTCCAACTTAAAACGTTATTTAATGAACTCACATAAAACCTATTAATGTATGGCCTTTTGTCACCGTATTATTTTTTTTTCAGCAGTATCACTTAAAGTTGGAGTACAGGTCGTCCCTGCGGTTGAAAATCAGCTTGGGATGAATTCACATAGAACTATGTATTGAACAATAAAAACAATGATAACGAAAGATATATTTGACTCAACTGATATATAAGCATAAATATTTTTTGTTGAAAAAAATTAGAAATTTGAAGTCATATTCTCTACACCTATGATGCAATACACCCTAACTGTATACCCCTTTAGATCATGTTTTCATAATGTAAATGTTTAAATAAATGTTATTTCAAATATTTGTGAAAATCTCTGAGAAAAATCCAAATCAGGAAAATCTAATATTTAACATATAATTTTTTTTTTATTTCATCAGGAAAAAAGTATATGTATTCGTATTCATTTAAATGTTATCTGTATTTTAATATCTAATTAGATTTTTGACCTTTTTGCACCAAGACTCGTTTTTTGAAAGGATGTCGTTTCTAAGTATTGGGGAAAATTACGTCTCTTTTAAAATAATACATTTTAAATACGTTTGTCCTATTTATCACAAAAATGAAGTCTTGCCAAAGACTTTAGCCCAACAGACAAAAATGCACTTTACATACATTATTGTAGATCGAACCTTTGTTTAATATCATCTCTGCACACTTGTAAAGCACACAACCAGGTTTT